GTCATCAGTCCGCGCCCAGCTATGAGAGGCGGGGCAGGAGCCGCGGGCCGGCAGTAACCTCAATGAGCTTTCTGCAGCCCGAGCGCCACCCCTGCGTCGATCCTCGCCATTCATACACAATGGAGTTGTGTAAATCATGGAACAGACTGAGAAAAAAATAAATAAATAAATAAGAGAGCTGCTCTGCATGGCTGACTGCGTCCCCTCTGCTGGACTACAGCAGCATGACAGAAACTAAGCAGCACAGCTTCAGATGCCGGTGCTCCCCACCAAGCCATGTCGGACGACATCTGCTTTGGTGGGCAAGGCCTACATGGTAGCGGGTCGAGCTGGTGCAAGCCCGCACACTATGGCCACCTTGCAGGCGTACCAGGCCGATCTTCTCAAAGACTGATCTAGGGGGAGGTCCCTCTGAGGAAGACCTGACTGAACTCCGTAGGGCTACGGACTTAACACTCCGTGTTACCAAGGAGACGGCCTGTTCCAGTGGCAACGGAACGCCATCTGTGGCTCAGCCTCTCGGGCATCCAGGGAAAGGAGAAGGCTTTTCTCCTGGATGTGCCCCTCTCTCCTACTGGCCTGTTTGGTGAGGCAGTGGATGCTGTTGTCAGCAGGTTTCAGCACGCCAAAGGCAGGGAGAGGCGTTTGAGCAATATCTCCCACGCCGGTCTGGGTCCAGGACGGTGACGGCTGAAGAGAGACGAGCTCAGCCCGCGGCTAGCTCCTACCACCGGAGCCAGAAGCGAAGTGTCGCTTCCCGTAGTCCCTCTCAACAAACCTGACGTGAGGCGACGCTCTCGCCCACAGCCCCCGGAGAAGACGGGCCTGAGGTCCGTCATTCAGTCTCGGCGGGCTCGGGGAAGAGGTCCTGAGGTTTTGAGTAGGGGGGCCCACCACCCCCCCCGAGAGAGACTGACCGAGGTCCCCATCCCTTTTATCCTCAGTGACCAGAGTGCAGTTAGGCCGTGCCATCACTGTACACTTTCAGAGGGTGTTGGGTCTCCTGGCAGCAGCGTCCAGTATAATACCTTCCGGACTACTGCACATGAGAGCCCCTGCAGTGGTGGCTAAAATCCAAGGGATTCTCCCCGAGGGGAAATCCGCTCTGTCTGATACGGGTTACAAGCAGATGCCTTCGTTCCCTGTCTGTATGAGGAAACCTTGGTTCCTGTCCCAAAGTTCGTGTTGGGAGCAATCTGTCGCCGAACAATTATTTCAACAGACTCCTCACTCACGGGATGGGACAGCCGCTTTGCGAGAGGCTCCTGGGAGGAGCATCATTTCTCCTGGCACATAAATTGCCTGGAAATGTTGGCGGTATTCAGAGCTCTGAGGAGTTTTCTGCCCGCGGCCGCCACATCGTTGTCAGAACCGACAATGCGGCAGTGGTGGCCCATTTGAATCACCAGGGGGGTCTGCGCTCGCGCCCGTTATGCAAGCTGGCACATCAGATCCTCCTGTGGTCCCAGCAGAGACTGCTGTCCCTCAGAGTGATGTACGTCCCTGGGACCCAGAATCAGGGAGCAGACCTGCTGTCGAGACAGGGGCTGAGGCCTGGGGAATGGAGACTCCACCTCGAGGTAGTGGAGTTATTATGCGAAGAGATTGGCCCCATAGACGTGTACTTGTTTGCGTCCCGAGAGACGACGCACTGTCCCCTGTGGTTCTCCTTCCCGACCCCAGCCCTGCTAGGGCTGAATGCCATGGTGCAAACGTGGCCGAGGCTGCATCTGTAGGCGTTTCCCCCAGTCGCTCTGCTCCCGGGGGTTGTGGAGCGGGTCTGCCAGGACGGCGTCAATCTACTATTAGTAGCCCTGTTTTGGCCGGCACGAGTGTGGTTCTCGGATTTAATATCGCTCCTCGAGGGCCCGCCCTGGCCTCCCAGGTGGACGGCTGGAACTTTCACCCGCACCCTGCCCTGTGGCAGCTATGGGTCTGGCCCCTGAGGGGGCACAGTTCCTGGAGGCGGGCCTGACGACAGGAGCAGTCAAGACGTTGCTCAGCTCCAAAGACCCGTCCACGAGAAGGATGTACGGCCTAAAGTGGAATGTGTTCACCACCTGGTGCAGAGAAAGGGCGGTGGACCCAGTTACTTGCTTGGTAATTGTGATACTGGAGATCCTCCAACACCGTTTCTCCGCTGGCCTCTCCCCGTCCACGCTCAAAGTGTATGTGGCTGCCATTGCAGCATTCCACGCCCCTCTGAGTGATGGGCCCTTGGGGAGGCTTCCACTGGTCTTGCGCTTTCTCCGTGGAGCCAGGAGGACGAGAACCGTGACTCGTTCCAGGGTTCCCACCTGGGACCTGGCAGTGGTTCTCGAAGCGCTGGCAGAGGCCCCCTTCGAACCCCTGGAGTCGGTTGAGGCCAAGCACTTGACCCTTAAGATGACCTTTCTCCTCGCTATCACCTCTCTGAGGAGGGTGGGGGATCTCCAGGCACTTTCAGTGTCTCCCCGATGCCTGGAGTTTGCCCCGGGGAGGGTCAGGGCCATCCTACACCCTTGCCCAGGTTATGTCCCTAAGGTTCCGGCCAGACTGGCAGGGTCCACGGTGCTGCAGGCGTTTCATCCCCCACCTCATGTGACGGCGGAGGATGGGAGACTTCATCTGCTCTGCCATAGTGTCGTCACCGACGCAGTGTCTCGTTCCCCTTCTTGGGGAACAAGGGTTACATACGTAACCCGAGACGCTCTCTATTAGTATAATATTCTAACATTAAGTTAAAACTAACTGCACAGCTAGGCTACTGTTATCAGTGTTGGGCAGGAACTGTACTAATATGACTTTTCCCATATTACATTTACTCATTTTCCCAATAACCCAGTCACCTGCCTCTGTTGCACTTGATGACAGCCTCAGCTGTACTCTGCTTACTGCTAACTAGCGCATGTTAGCATGCTAACACACAAAACTCAATTAACATGGTGAACATGTATACCTGCTATACATCAGCATGTTAGCATTGACATTATGAGCAATGCATGTTAGCATTTAGCAAGTAGCATGGCTGTAGACTTAGTTGGGGTTTTATTATTTAAACACCTTGGTAGATTTTTGAAAAATGCAGTAAATTAGCAGCTTATTCTTTGATGAGGTTTGTATTGTTTGATTCTGCACAGACGTGACCATGGGACAGTTTTACTGTCCGTGGCTGAGACCGTTTCCCTTTTGGTGATCGATTATATTTTTCTAATCAAACAAATAAGAATAAAAATTTACAGAAGCTAAAGATTTACAAGTCAGAGGAATTTTATTTGACGTTCAGGCTTCACTCACTGATTTGTGGTTGTTTTTGTGTCTGATTTCCCCTCCAATCAATCAACGAATTAAACTTTATTGATATAGCACCTTGCCCCCAGGTAAGTGTTGTTCAAGTGCTCAGGTGGCTTACAACATAAAAAAATGAAAGTTTGATGAAAACAAAAGTAAAATTTACAGACATACGATTAAAATGTGATTAAAATGACAAAAGTGGAATCAAATTAATAAAAACTAAACATTAGTTTAAAACACTAAACTTCCAGATCACATGGGATTTTTTGCAGTGTGGATTCAAACAGTTAATGAAGGACTTGCAGCTGCTATGATTTATGATTTCATATAGCTCGCCATTTATGATGCGCAATAACTCAGCAGAATATGACCTAGCTGACATTACTTCCACTGCAGCACAGCTCACCTCAAATACCATAAAATAACAGGCAGATCAAATAAACTGGACTATAAAGACACTGAAACGTCTCCGATCCGAAGCCACTAATCAACATGGACTTTTGGTTTTTGCTTGTTTTCATTTTGGGTAAGAAAGCTTCAGCTTGTCTTTTTATTTTAGACATTTCAACAGGACTTCATGTGTCTATAAGTTAGTGTTGGGTTGTTTAGTTGGTTTATAGCTGTACAGTGTAAACTGAAGAGGCAAAATCAGAGGTGGAAAGAGCACAAAAAATATTCTGTGAAGTGAAAATATTAATTTGATGAACCTTTACTTAAGTAAAAGTAAACTTGTAAGTGGTATAAAAAAGTAAAAAGTTGCTGATGTAAAATTGACTTGAAAGTTTAAAGTTTTAAAGTTTAAAACCTCCTAAAATTGCGAAGGTTAAAGTCAAGGGCAACTGGACTTGGTTGAAGATACTGGAAGACGAAGGACAGCATTGTGAGATGTTGGGTGGGGGGGTCTACGCCACCACTTATCCCCTACTTACAATGCTGTCCTTTCATCGCTTCCCAGGAAACTCAAACATAACCTATTGGCCTCAGGTGAGGATGCCAACGATGGTCGTTCAGTCTTGGCCACAGGTCGTCGTAACGACTGTCATTACAGTTACTGGAGATAACAGCCGATGCCTTTTAATACCACAGGGCACAGAAGTCTGGAGCAGCTAAACAAACTATTGTCGGGCAGTTGTTGGCATTTTCAATAATTATGTGAGCAGCCATGATTTGACTTTATGCTGCACACAACATAAGTCTGCCAACAGCGAAAGTGAAAGGAGGCGGTTACATGGCTGAGAAGGTGGAGGGAGGTGTGCAGCTTTTTCTCTAACAGCTCACCGTGTCTGCTGCGTCTGACTATCGCATTACTCACTGCAGCAGGAAATGTTCAGTTTCATAGTACATGAAGTTTACAAAGGCATTGTCAGGTGAGGATCAAGGCTCCTCTCACGCTTAGACAACATTCATTCAAATCTTACCAAAAGGTTTTTTAATTTTTTGAAATACAACAGAAACAAAAAGTAGTATTGACTGCCATAATTTCAGCTTGTAAAACGGTTTAATTTTTTTTAGTGGACCTTTAGTATGTGAAAGCACAAATTACACATTTGTGTACTAAGTAGTGAAGCAATATCCAAGATTTTTTTATTGCAAATTCTGAAAGTTTTCATTATTGGTCACTTAATAGGCACACGGTCTCCTCATCTCATCACTATTAGCAGTAAAAAGAAATACTGGTACAGTTTAATTGCCAATAATATTCAGTGGTCACACTGGCCACAGAGACAGAGACACACACTATATGAAATTAATCCAAGTACATATTTTACACCACTGACATGACATCTCTGAGAGCTTCTAGCTACAGATATCAAACAACAGTTTTCATTTACATCACCAAAGTCTGACAAATTTAAGTTAATTACCTGTCCAGCAGAAAACAGAAAACTTCAGCACCGTATGAAAACATCTGTCGCACATCAAAGCCTTCCATCTGGGAAAATCTGCAATGATTACATCAGTGATTTCTGTCATCAACTGTCTGCATCTGTCCCGACCTGTCTGCCTAAAAACATGTTCATTATGAAAGGTCTTTATACACCACAGAAAACAGTCAGATATGTTGCATTTCAGTCGATAAACCCTCAGAAATATTACACACTGAATCTTTAAAAATGTTGAAGCACGTTAGCAGCTTGTCGATTGAGAGCAAGTTCAGTCAGTCCTCCACTTTGGTCCAGACTGAAATCTCTCAACTACTATTCTTTATTTCTTTTTTGTACAAAACATGGGCAGCCTCAATATAATGGATACCAATAGGTATGGTTACAATATGATATGACAATATAATTCTAATGCTAGCCATGTAGTCTCATTAACATGTTAGTGTCCAACACTTTGTAACTAAAGACTTGTGACTGACTGTGTTTACTGCCAGTTAGCTAGCATGCTAACTACGATGGTTAACATTGTTCCTGCTAAACATCAAAATGTTAGAATTTCCATTTTGTTAGCATGCTGATGTTGGCATGGTGAACCAGGAAGGGGGGGGGGGGGGGGATGAATGAAAGACTAACTACACCACCTAGGGAATTGCACTCCAGGAAATACTGTCTTGATTATTTGGACAATAAGAGAAAAAAAAAAGCACACAGGAACGTTAGAGGCAGATGTGATTCAAAATATAGCAAAATACATTTTTAATGTTTTTAATTGCAAAAACAAACAATCTGGGGCTGGAACTGTTGAAAGGAAATGTGAAGCAGCAATAAGCACTAAAATGGTAGATAAAAACAACTTATTTTATTACAATTATTTTAAAACGACTTTAATATGAATTCAAATAAAGTACATATATAAATCCAGCGCCCCAAAATAGCTAACCAAAACTAAGCAGAGGTCACTTGTGGAGAGGCAGACTACACTGAGAGGCCAGGAGTGGTACCACTACCCACGTTAAGTGCAGCACTACAAACCTCACAGCAATAAAGTAACCCAGTTGGCTGAACAAGGGCAAACTATATTGCCAACACCACACAAGAACATACAACTATAGCAAATCAGATCTAAACCAAAGTAGTACAAATTATAAACAGAAAGATAACCAAATATGGAAAAGGTGGAACTAAACCAAACATTAAACTAGAGCAAAAACAAACTAAAAACAGGAGAATTGTCTTGGAGGAGAAAGGACAAGAACCCCACAACACTTGAAACAGACAACAGATGGGTGAAAAACCTTTCAGATAGGGAACTCACCCAACCAGAGAAAGACGTTCTGGCCAAAGGATTAAACGTCGCCATTACACCACAGCAACTACCGATAGTAGACCTCATCACAGCCACAGAATCGGCCATTAGGAAAAACAAATTAACAGAAACAGAAGCGGAACAGCTCAGACTAAAGGTATCTGCAGCCCTTTCTAATGCGAAGCCCCCCCCTTCCAACCTCACCATCCAAGAAAGGAAGGCTGTGACATCTCTGAGCAAGGATCAAAACATCACTATCCTACCTGCGGACAAAGGAAGATGCACGGTAGTCCTTAACACAGCAGACTACCAGAACAAAGTCAACACACTACTAATGGACACAAACACGTATGAGACACTGAGACGAGACCCAACCAGCGGATATAAGAAAAAGGCCATAGAATGTCTACAACAGTTACAGAAGGACAACACCATCACCCGTGAACAATATTACCGTTTGTATCCTGGAGAAGCCATTCCATGCATTTATGGACTACCCAAGATACACAAAGAAGGAGCCCCACTCAGGCCGATAATCAGCAGCATTAACTCGGTCACCTACAACATTGCCAAACACATTTCCACCATCTTAGCGCCATTGGTGGGAAACACGCCTCACCACGTCCAAAACTCTATTGACTTTGTGAACAAAGTTCGAGGACTAAAACTGGATCCAGATGAAACCATGGTATCCTATGACGTGACTTCTTTGTTCACCTGCATCCCCACCATAGAGGCAGTAGAAACCGTTAGGAAACGGCTAACACAAGACAACACCCTGGACAACAGAACTAGCCTCAGCCCTGACCAAATCTGCAAATTACTCGACCTCTGTCTAAACACCACCTACTTCCAGTACAACGGTGGATTCTACAGACAGAAGCATGGCTGTGCCACGGGCTCACCGGTATCCCCGATTGTGGCCAACATCTACATGGAAGAAGTGGAGAATAAAGCCCTCAACTCCTTCAGAGGAACAGCACCGAGCCACTGGTACAGATATGTGGACGACACCTGGGTCAAAATTAAAAGTCAGGAAGTGCAAGCCTTCACAGAACACATCAACTCTGTGGACAGTAACATCAAGTTCACACGAGAAGATGTTCACAACAACAGTTTGGCCTTCCTGGACTGCGCTGTACACATTGAAGAGGACGGGAGCCTGCAGATTGGTGTTTACAGAAAACCCCACACACAGACCAATACCTACTGTTCGATTCCCACCACCCACTGGAGCACAAGCCAGGGGTCATGAGAACACTGCACCACAGAGCGGAAAACATACCAACAAGCGCCCAAGCCAGAGAGAAGGAACAGAACCACCTGAAGGGGGCACTTACAGCCTGTGGATACCCTAAATGGACCTTTGTGAAAACAGCCAAAGATCCAAGAAGAACAAAACTACAAGGGAGGAAAAGAAGGTCAAATACAACAACATTGTGATGCCATACGTGTCTGGAGTATCAGAGAAACTCAGGAGGATTTTCAACAAACATAACATCCCTGTGTTTTTTAAACCCAAGAACACACTAAGACAGATGCTGGTCCACCCCAAAGACCGCACACCCAAACACAAGAAAAGCAATCTAGTGTCTGCGGTCCAATGCAGTGAGGAATGCACAGACCTGTATATTGGGGAGACTAAACAACCACTACACAAACGCATGGCTCAACACAGAAGGGCCAACTCCTCAGGTCAAGACTCTGCTGTCTACTTACATCTGAAGGACAGAGGACACTCGTTTGAGGACCACCAGGTGCACATTTTAGACAGAGAAGATGGATGGTTTGAAAGAGGTGTCAAGGAAGCATCTACACCAGGGTGGAGAAGCCGTCATTGAACAGGGGAGGGGGTCTACGCCACCACTTATCCCCCACTTACAATGCTGTCCTTTCATCACTTCCCAGGAAACTCAACAAACGTAACCTATTGGCCTCAGGTGAAGATACCAACGATGGTCGTTCAGTCTTGGCCACAGGTAGTCTTAACGACCGTAACGACTGTCGTCACAGCAACAAGGAACACTAACGAACCAGCGGTATTGATGACCCGGGATAACGACCCCACTGAGGTTAAATAGCTGAGTTTCCCTGCCAGTCAGAACTGAAGAAGTCCTTTGGATGAGGGACGAAACGTCTTCCAGTATCTTCAACCAAGTCCAGTTGCCCTTGATTTTAACCTTCGTTGGATAACAAACAAAAAAGGGGGACAAAACAGGAAACTACAGCCCATTCCCAGTGTGACTTTGAGGCGCATTCCTGGGATGTCCGTGAGGGCTTAGGGCCGTCCCACTTTCAAACTGTCAAGTGCGCGAGGGCTCTTCCGTGGACATTTTGAGCCCTTTTTACACCCTTTTAACTCTGCATTTCTGCAGACTTTGCCTGAGAGAATTGCCCACAGTTCTTAGTGGCATGATGTGAAACACTGGGGTTACCAGAGGAAGCTCTGAAGCGAGAGAAACATCACGGAAAATTTGCCTTATGAGAAGAAAAAGACGAAGACGAGTAAAGTTGGGATTGAGCCTAAAAGGGACAAAACAGCAGTGGTGTAAAACAACGAGGAACCTGGAAAAGTGAGGGAAACAATTAGCCAGGCTCAACCTTACTACATTAAAATACATTTAAAACCATGCATCTACTCACCACCTCTGAGATGGGTCATGAAGAAGCAACAGTCACAGGGCAGGAGAAAAGGAGGTTCCTAACAGGGTCAAGGAGCAGGTGAGCAACAGAATCAACTGTTAAGGGGAAATAGATGTGCATGAAATTATTCCTTTCACATACCTAGGCCACAAGACCAACCACAACCACAGCAGGGACAGATCAGGACGCAGAGAGAGAGCAAGGGAACACAGGTGTCTTATATAACCTAAGTCTAATAAGGAGGCTAGTCAGAGGAGGAGCAAAGTCAAGGCTGCATTCAACACCACCACACATTAACCTGCACTTGGGAAACCTTTCCCCACCACATTAGCATTTAGTTCAAAACATTGCTGTGTGTAAGTAGAGCCTCACAGAGCAGCTAGCTTGACCCTTACTTGGGTTTTAGAGTTGGATCACAGTTTGACTGCACAGTAACAACTTTGTCCTATCCAGTCTAATTATTGTAAAAATGTTGTGTCTCCTCACAGCTGTTCCTTTGGCCGCCTCTAGAACTGGAGCACAGTCCACCACTACAACATCATCAGCATCAAATACCACCGACCAAACCTCCAACACTGTATTCCCAATACTAGCTTCTACCGCTACTGCCACTGTTGATTCTGCTACTGTTCCCTTTACTACTACTACTTCTTCTCCTACTACTACTGCTGATGCTTCTTTTACTGTTCCTACTGACCAAACCAATGCTACTGGACAAACCACTATAACTTACCACCAAAATACTACAACTACAACTAGCAGAGATCTGACCAGTACCTTCTCCCATACCTTATCTTATCCCAGTACTGCAACGACTTTAACCGCTTCCGACTTCCTCAATGCTACTACAACAACTACAACTAGCAGTGATCTGACCAGTACCACCTCTTATCCCAATACTGCAAGTACTTTAGCCACTTATTCAACTACCAGTGCAGATCCACTTAGTCAACCAACGTTGACTTCTACTCCTCCTCCTCTTCTTACTCCTCCTCCTTCCACTATTCCTCCTCCTCCTCCTCCTCCCACTACTATTCTTACAACTCCTCCTCCTAATACCACTACAACTACTCATCTTCCTAATACTACTACTACTACCGCTACTGATTCTCCTAATACTACAAATACTACTACTGCCGCTACTGATCCTCCTAATACTACTAATACTACTACTGCCGCTACTGATCCTCCTAATACTACTAATACAACTACTGCCGCTACTGATCCTCCTAATACTACTAATACTACTACTGCCGCTACTGATCCTCCTAATACTACTAATACAACTACTGCCGCTACTGATCCTCCTAATACTACTAATACTACTACTGCCGCTACTGATCCTCCTAATACTACTAATACAACTACTGCCGCTACTGATCCTCCTAATACTACTAATACTACTACTGCCGCTACTGATCCTCCTAATACTACTACTGCCGCTACTGATCCTCCTAATACTACTAATACAACTACTGCCGCTACTGATCCTCCTAATACTACTAATACAACTACTACCGCTACTGATCCTCCTAATACTATAAATACAACTACTACCGCTACTGATCCTCCTAATACTTTTACTCCTCCTCCTCCTCCTCCCACGACTATTCTTACAACTCATCCTCCTAATACTACTAGTAACGCTACTGATCCTCCTCCTACTATTCCTATTCTTACAACTCCTCATCCTACTACTACTACTCATCCTACTACTACTACTACTCATCCTACTACTACTACTACCACTACTCATCCTACTACTACTACTACTACCACTACTCATCCTACTACTACTACTACTACTACTACTACTACTACTACTACTACCACTACTCATCCTACTACTACTACTACCACCCCCCCCACTACCACTCCTCTGGTTTGTAAAAACGGTGGGATATCACTGAATGGTGTCTGTATCTGTCCTGATGAATGGACCGGAGCAACATGCTCAGTAGGTGAGTCAGGTTTAGCAACAGAAGTACAGTCCACAGTTTTTTCTAATTATTTCTAAAAATATTAAAGTTGCTTCTGATCTGTTCTCAAGCGGAAATCCTCTAGCTACCATTCGCCCCAAAATCGTATTTATTGAGTATTTCGTGGGCTCCACTTTCTTGTCAAATCAACAGCAGGCTAACACTCATTTTGGGTACTGCTATCCTGTCACAATTTTAGTTTTGTTTCACCACATAGTCTTTTGATTTATAAATTTAAACTCATACCATTAATAAAAAATACAATTTCTTAGTCAAATACTGAGCAAGTTCTTAAGGTCACACCAGCATATGGAGTCTATGAATTAACACTGTATGCAGACGACACTCAATCTTCATTTGAGACATTTTCAAATCAAACAAACTTGCATCCAGTCACATCTTTTTTGGCCTTTGAATGAAATCACACCTCATCTACAATTTGCCTCATGTTCTGTCTGAACACACCTTCAAGCGTCTTGTTTACCAACTCAATAGAACATCAACACTTAGTAGCAGATCATTATTTAGTGTTAATGTCAACCTCCTTTCCAAGGCCAACTGACCAGCAAGTCAAAAAAGCAGCTGATTTTTGTTAAACTTGTCCTCTTAGGAAATTTCTGTGAAGCAGATAAGCTCAATGAATACCTGTTCCCGCGCACACCCATCGGCTGGTTTGCATATTCTGAGCAAAAATGTCCCAAAGGAACGAGTGGTGGTGAGTTTCGACCAACCATCACTCTACATATTCATCTATTGTTATCTATCAACCTGTAAGTGACAACCATCCATAATATTCTGGTGTTTTTCTTTCCAACCCTTTTTAAATTTCCACCCAGCTGGTAAACCAGAGGCTTTGTCTAGATGTTCCATGAAGAACGGAACACTGAGTTTCTGTCCACCACAGGTGCTCCAGTGTGACCAGACGCTCAGTGACATACAACAAAATGTGAGAATCACATCACAGGAAACAGTGAAGGAAAGGCTGAATGTTAATTTGTTAAAAACAAACAATTCCAGCTTAATGGCCAGTTTTGGCATTGATGTAGAAAGGAACATCCCATCCCATATTTAGTTCAGGTTAAGGATAACATTTTGCATGAATGAAAGCAAATTTCTTTCCTCTCTCAGCTTACTAGTCCAGCTGATTTAGAGATGCTGGCGAGCAGCACTCAAATTCTGACCTCCAACCCCGAAGAGCTAACGGCAGAAAATGTTACAACTGCAGCTCAGATTGCCAACACACTGCTGCTGTCTCCAAACGCCACAGAGGTACAAACTGTCAACGAATCTGAAGAAGAACAAACTGTTCTTTTAAAACTAAGTTTAAAGTGTGCAGTAGACGGCCATGACCAAGCTACGACGACTATACAATAGTGATAATTTGAAGGATAAAAACTTAAATGTACTTATATATCACTTTTAATACATATTTTGATGTAACTATACTCGGTGTGTGCCGTGTTAATGTTTGCATTGCAGACTGTCAGGGTGGCAGCAGTAGCTACAGTCAGCCAGCTGCTGAATGCCAGCATGCCGGACGATAGCCAGGAAAACAACGCTACTCTGGGGTAAACTTCATCTTATCTTTGTTACAATTACTGCAAAGAATCTGCCTCTGCTAGCTTGTTCACATCTCAGGTTTAATCGCCCATGTGTTCCGTGTAAAAAATGTTCACCTTTACAGACCCATTGTAGCCAGAAGCTGGGGAGAGAAGTTTTCTCATGACAGAAATACGTTTGACTGTAGCTGAAGTGGGGGATTCAGGATCAAAATAGGGTTAAATTAGCTTGAAAATGAGGTGTCCACAGTTGTTTGGTTTTCAGTTCATATCAGAGCTTTCAGAAAAGAAATCCCCAGTTCCTCTGTTGTAATCATGACTTGGATATTGATGTGAAAGCTATTTACAAGTTCCTCAACAATGAATCAGAGCTTTACACCAGCTTCATCTGCATTTAATAAAAGCCGGGACACTCACTTGATGCTGTTTTGGCTTGAGATCGAAGCCCTACAGGAGCCTTAAAAGAGACAAGAAAAATCCTGATGTCAATACTTCAGATTTTAAAGCCGTTTGTTAGTTTTCTAAATGAATAAAACAAGATCCGAAGAATCTGACCAAACAACAGTTTTCAATACTTTCTCTTACAAACTCTCTTCGGACTTTAAATGCATCCACTTGGCTGTTTGATTTCAGGTACAAGGTTGTTAGTCATTAAACAGCACAAGGCTACATAACGAAACCAAATGTGTAGTTCCTTCATGCTGCACACACAACATGTAATTAAGTGGAGGCTTGTATTAAAATATGGTAACATATAAATATATAATAATAAAATAAAACAATACACTTTCTTTATACATATATACAGACACGTATCTACCCCGAAAAACCCTGTAAAACACAGAGTCCACCTTCTCTCATCTGGGCGGAGACTTGCTCTGACAGCTCAGAACCTGGACCACCTGCCGAGTGCTTGATCCGGGCTGTTGATTGGGCAGGTCTCTGTAACGAAGTGGGCACAACAGTCTCTGAATTCTGTTGTCTGGTCAACATGAGTCCCTTTTGGTCCAGACCGGATCTTTAGAAGCAGAATTAAATCCCAGCTGGGCCAGCATGGCTCCTCACTGGCTCTCTTTCCTCTCCTCTGAGCGATCACCCGCCGTGGCGCCAGGTCCGGTTGTTTGGGCCGGGTGGATAGTGGTCTGCTGCTCTTTAATCCAAAAACCCCGTCTTCATCTTCCAATGACAGTACTAATGTCAGAGGTAACGCATGTTTGGAAAAAAAGCCATAAAAAACAAATAAAAAACAAAAGTAGCGAAGTTTGAAGGAGCTACCGGCTGCTGCTTCTACAAGCGCTGCCGGTTGCCAAATGGTTTTCAGTTGGTAAATGAGCAGTGCCTAAAGTCGAGTTCAGCCTTTCATTTCATCTGAATTTTTTACCCTGCAGATTTGACAATGTTAGTATTTCTATATATTTCTGTGTATTTTGTGGCCAGCCTTACGGTGACCCTGGACCAGCTCTCTGTGAACCTCAGCCAAAGTCTCAACACGTCTCAGAGTCAAGTAGTCCAACCAAACCTGGTGGTCCAGTCGGCACAAATCCCTGCTGCAGACACTCAGGGAGTCCAGTTCACCTCTCTCTCAGGTCAGTGTCATGATTTTGAAGCCGGTCACATGATCTGATTAACCTCTCAGGTGTTCAGTTCTGCACTTTGAAAGCTGGTCTTATCCATCTAGAACTATAGCCAGGACAGGGATCATAAATTACCAATGACTGAATTATTATGGAACAAAGTTTTATTTACCAGCAGACCACCATGATGTCCCACTGATTTTATATGATCGTCTGTCCTGCTCTGTCCAGGTGACTCCAGGCTTTTAATTAGTCTAAAGTCCACATCAGCTGCGGTGTTATTTAATCTGCTGGATAAAGGTTCAGCGAAATTTTATGATGTTAATAGTCATAACTCTGTTCTGTGTCCTGCTGTGTCTCCGGTTTAGTCTTTCTTTTATTGTCTGTTTGTACTGCTGGTCTTTCCTCATGTTTCTGTATTTTTGCAGCATTTCAATAACAGTAGGTTGGACTTTTTTGTGAACTTATCTTTGTTTTTGTCCAAAAGCTGCTGGCAGTCAGCACCACAGCTGGATTTGTTTTTCACTGATCTCCCAAAAACCGCAACTAAATGAAATGGGTGGCCACGTCCACGTCTTTTATAGCCAGCGGTTGATGTCGAGGGCTACAGAAGCTTAAAGGGGACAATAATAATAATAATAAATAATAATAAACACATGTGCAGCCAGGTGGTGAAGTAAGAAACAAATGATTCTCTGTTTTGCAAACCAACATCTGAAATATAGCAGCAAAGAAGACGGAGCAGTTTGTGTTTCTGTGATTAGGAACGTCTGGCAGTTTTGTTGCTGACCGAATTCAGCTGAACACCAACGTGTCAACAGTTGTGGTGGAAAACGGGTTCGTAGCCGACGCCCTCATATACATAAGATTCACACCAGGTGAGTTAACTGCAACTGAGTGAACCTGCAAACTGTTTTATGGCTCACTCCGCTGTTTTACTGCATGGTAGTTGACTGCATAAAATAAAGGTTATTAAAGTCTCAAACATGCAAAATTGCACATCTTTGTAAAAAGTTTTATAAATGTTCTACAAATAAACCTGTCAGTTTCTTCTTGTGTCTGAAGAGGCTGTCAGTGGCCGTCAGAAGCCATCAAACGTCTCGCTGGGTTTCGTCCTCTACCAGAACGACCGTTTCTTCAGGTCGAGGCGGTATAGAAGGGGACGGGCCACCATCAGGGTCCTGTCGGCCAGCGTTAGAGGTCAGGAGCGCAGCGTGGTGCCGCAACACGTGGAGATGCTGTTCAGACCAACGGTAAGAAAATCAGATTTTAATTTAACAATTGTTTAAGGGCCTGTACCGACTTTTCCCGAATGCACACACGATTTCATGTAAAAGTCTGATACTGTGGCTACAACCTGTGTTTTTAACCTAAATTTGTTTCCATACAGTCTAATTGTCACCCATTAAAAAGTAGCTGTTTGTTTCAGTGGAACTGTTAATGGTTTGTTTTTTATGGCACCAATAAACCTGAATGATCTGCTGTGGATTCATCATGACAGTGGCTGCTGTGGGATTCTTTTCTGTTGTAGAGGAGGTATAATGAAAAACGACACTAAAGAGTACCCAGGGCCTTAAAAAGCGACACCAAGGGGTCTTGACTAAGCGCCCATGTGTTGAGTTGGGAGTAAGAATGTGTTGCAATAACTTGATAACGTGATTCTCTGACTTTTAGTCCAGCGCCATCATAAGGTCAACGTGTTGATGGGTCCAACACTTTTATGACCAAATACCTACAGAACTGATGATATTCCACATCAGCCTCAGCTGCACACTCTGTTTACTGCTAATTAGTAGGGTTGCAACTAAAAACTATTCTGATTATCAATTAATCTGTTGATTTCTTTTGCGATTTTATCGATTATTTATTTCTCACAATGTTCAAATGTTGTGTTTTATCCATCTCTCCAGGTCCAAAACCTTAAGACATCAGGTTTACAATTATAAAAAGACCAAGAAAACAAGCAAACATTCACATTACATCTACAACCTGTACAAAAAATTACTGTAGTAATTGATCAAATTAGTTGCCAATTACTTGCAAATGTAAGCATGCACACATGCTGAACTCCTTTGTTTGTTGTTTTTGGCTAACAACTTCAAAACAAGCTAACGGGTTACAAATTGTATGCGGACCTTAGTAGACATGGCGAAGATTGCGCCATGCAGACTCGCTTTGGTTGCGAAAAGCATGAATTGCTCTTGTTTTCCCAAAGAGCTGATGTTTGATTTCAGTTCTTCTGTTACAAGGTCAAACTGTGTAAATGCATGAGCAAAGTTAGAGGCTTACAGATGTTGTATCTGCTGCTGTCTCAGATGATGAATGGGACGTCTCTGTACGACTTCGCCTGTGTCTTCTGGGACTACAGTCTGCAGGACTGGAGCACTGACGGCTGCTCTAAAGGGAACGCTTCAGACGGAGTCCTGAGATGTTTCTGCAACCACACCACCAACTTCGCTGCTCTCTGGGTGAATATCACAAGTGTGCACTGAATGTTAATAAATTTCAAATGAGTGGAGAAGAATGTTGTGGGAAGTCTGCTGGACAAAAAAGATTTATCATGTTGATGAGCTAAAAGGTTACACCATGACCATCAGGTATTTAATCAGATGTACACTTTCTTGCTTGAAGCTACTTGTTGAAAGACTTGAATGATGAAAATGTGATTCTGTCTTTGTTTTTCAGTCCTTCAGAGAGAAATATCAATATGCAGAAGCACTGGATATGATTTCTATCGTTGGGCTTTCTTTTTCCATTCTGGGTTTGGTTGTAACGATCATTCACCACATTAAAGTGAAGTAAGGCGTTATACTATATTACATCAAAATGTTCCATTGTATTTTGTTTACTTTCTCACCGTCTACTCTTTCACAGTCAGTTCTTTAAGTTAGCAATTAGGTTGGCATTTCTTTAAGCATTTCACTTTCAGCCTTTTGGTTAGCTTTCCTCAGTGCCCCTTATTCAGAGTCACTCTCTGGTGGAAAGTAACAAGTACAGTACTTTCTACTGCTACTCTACGACATTTTTACTACCTTTATTTTATTTCAGAACAGGGAGACGCAACACATGAGACACAATTAGCTTAAGAATCGCAGTTTTTCTCAGTCCGAACACACATCAATTCAATCAGTGTGACTTCCACTTCCCGAGGACATCTGTATCTCTGATGTTCATCCAGTATAAACCTGAAGAAATCTGTTTGGAAAGCAGAGGAAAAAGACACTTCTCATGGCTCCAGAACTGGGAATCATCAGGCTTTTAAGTTTTCTACAGTACCTTATTCTCAAAATATAACAACTGTGTCTCAAATCTTCTCTCTTTAGCTTTCAGAAAAACTATCGTGGGGCGCAGACCAACAAGAACTCTAAAATCGCTCCGCTGTGCATCTACCTCAGCCTGCTGGCCTTCATCATCACCTTCCTCTCTGGCGTTGGAAACTCAAGCACACAGAACAACGCTCAGGTGCAGGTCAACAGTCAGACCAACGTTATCCCAGGGTCTGATGAGCACGTGGAGCCGGACCAAGGCTCGTGCTCGGCGGTGGTGGCTCTGCTGCAGTTCTTCCTGTTAGCCACCTTCATGTGGAACAGCGTGTACGGCACTCAGCTGGTGCTAATTTTCCGGAAGAGTCGCCGTGGTCTTCCTCCACACTGGAGTAAATTCAGCCTTGCTGTGGGATGGGGTACGAGAAGTTCAAATGTTGCCATGTAATGAATGTTTTTTACGGACTATAACCTAGCTGGAAGCAGATATAAGGACATTTTTAAACTTCAGTAATGTTCAGCTTTTTTTTTTAACATACAGCAGCCTCCACTTGTGTTAGTCAACAGGAAGTGTACAAGTACTTTTATACACACTTACATCTGCTTTTAGCTACAGACGTGTTACAAACCATGTTTTTGCATGTAGTAGGTGCAGTATAGTAAACTTAAAGTCAAAGTGTTGTATAATGTATAATCAAAAAAATCTTGCAATATGTGTTACACAGGAAAACAAAATTAAAATAAATTGGCAGAATGAAATGATGAAAAAAAACTAAATACAATGAAATTCAATTAAAAAGTCAAATGTACTTATAAAACACATAAAACAGGAGGAAATATATCAATAAAACTTAAGGTTTGTTGTTGTTATATTATAATATTCCAACACGTACAACCTGTAATCAGGCTAGCTCCAGTCTTTACGCTAAGCTAACGAGCTGCTGGCCGTAGCTTCATGCATTCAGACATGAGAGTGTTAATCTGAACACTGTCAGAAAGAGAACGTCCCAAAATATCAAACTCTTTTAAATAAATTGTTGAAGTACATCAAAGTCTGAGCCCAAACAGTTAATGACCATTATGATTTCCTAATAGAACATTGTGCGAACATCAAGTAAAGGATATGCTTTTCAATTTAAGGTTTAATTTAAAGTAAGTTTAACGGTTTTAACTTCCTGTCTCCTCTTAGGAGTCCCAGCAGTTGTCATGGCAATCACACTGGGAGCCACCTACAGTGTTGACAATCCTCTGGGATACAGGCAGGAGGAATTGTGGGTCTATTAATATCATTACCTTTACTAATTTATTAACTGACACTTTTTGCATCACTTCTTCAATTCTTAATTTTCCAGTTACAACCTATCAAAATTATCTAAATTAGAATTCAAAATAAAATTCTGTGTATTTGATCAAATCTTGTTGACAAAGTCCCAGGTCTGACATGTCTGATTCTTTTTGGTCCTCTAGCTGCTGGCTCGCAGCTCTGGATAAGGCCAAACGGTTCGACTTTGGGAAGCCGATGTTTTGGGGTTTCCTGCTTCCAGTTGGTCTGATTCTGATCTACAACATCGTACTGCTGGTTCTGGCCTCTCTGATCACGTGCAGGACAGACCCCAATCTGAGAAGGTAGTGGACGTTTCATTTCCCAACGTTTATCTTCAACGCAACATAAGTCTCTCCAAACGAGGCAGATTGAGGCTGCTCGTTGCACCCAAACCAAGAAACATGACCCACATTTATGATGAAGTATTAGGGCTGCTGGAGGTTTTGAGAATTACGTCACAATATTTTGAGAATATTGTAATATTTCAATAAACAAGGTAAATGGGATAAAGTAGGGTTAAGATCAAAACAAACAGCATTCATTGTTGTTTTGTTTGGTTAAGTGTGTAAGTTTTAGTGACATCTAGTGGTGGGGGTTGCGAATTACAAGAATTTCAACCCCCCTCCCCATATCCAAGCAAGATGTATAGCTACGGTGCCTGAGACAGGACAAAGATGTCATCTATGAGATAGCAGAGAGTTGCCAGTCAAGAAATCAGGTTTCTTTACATTGATATATTAAGAAATTACTTAATTATTCATTAAGAAATGAAGTGCTACATGATGTCTCATACTCCTGTAATACAGTATTTTACAACTTGGGAGGGTTGGCTCATCTGGACTAACATACCACACACTATCACATCTAGTGCATCAAGTAAGACCACTGACAGATACCAGGACAATGTGAGCCTCACTGTTTGTGCACCACAGCCCATTATTAACCACATAATACAAGAAGCTTACAAAGGCATTGTCAGGTGAGGATCAAGGCTCTTTTGCCTTTGCTTAATTAGATAAGCATGCAAATATTACCAAAATGTCTTTTTTTATCTTTTGAAGTACAACAGAAACTGTAGTACTGACAGCCATAATTTCAGCTTGTGGTAAAACAGTGCAACGTTTTTAATGGGCATTTAAAAATGTGAAAGTACAAATTACACATTTGTGTGCACAGTGGGAAGCAATATCCCAAAAAAACATCTTTTTAATGCAAATTCTGACAGTATTCATTATTGGTCACTTGTTATATATCACCATTAGCAGTAAAAAGAAATACATGTTTTCCACGAGAGTAAAATGTGAAGTTTAGCTGCTGATCTGAGCTTCCCTGCTGTTACCGTTTCATTACTAATACTATTCATCAGCTGTTTGTCTCGAGAAGGTAACAACACATTTCTGTCCATGTAACAAAGCCATAAGAGAGCGCTGGAGAAGAACTACATGAAGTTACAATCCAACTACATATTTTTCTGATCTGAGCTTCGATGCTGGATGCTGCCGTGAGAGTGCTGGAGAGAGAGTAACTACATAAACCTAATCCAAGTACATGATTTTCCCAGCAGGACAGTAAAAGTTTAGCTGGCTGATGCTTCCATGCTCTAAGCTAACGCTATGATCAGCTGATTGTCTTGCTAACGTAACCGGCAAAGCCAACCCACATGCTGGAGAATCAGTAGGCGACATGAAATTAATCCAACTAACGTTATATATTTCAAACCACTGACATGAGAAACACGGCTCTCTAAGCTAAAGCTATCAAACAACAGCTTTCATTTGTATCGCTAAAGTATTTACCTGTCCAGCAGAAAACATCCACTTTGAAAACATCTGTCCCACATTAGCGTTATAGCCTTCCATCCGGGAACAGCGTCAGCTGTTTGTATCTGGCCCAACTCCTCTGGCTTCATCTTATAAAGATCCACAGGCTGTCAGCGCTGTGCTAAATAATGTGTGCACGTTCATTTGTCCAAATGTCATTTCTCTTCTTACTTCTAATAAACCGGAGGACTACTCAGAGACTGTATATTATTATTATTTCCGCTTCTTCCTCTATGGACGCATTTAATGTAGTAATAGCGTCGACACTGCCGGAATTACACAAGCAGAAGAAGAAAGCCGTGATGATGAAACGCACTCTGTAGCGCTGTTTGTCCGTTGTCGGCTACTGTAGAAACATGATGACAAAATACTGTGACCTCTACAGAGGGGGTGCCCGCGGTCATGTAGATAAAAAAGGCTCATTGTAAGGGAATAAAAACACAATGCTTCATTATGTAAGGTCTTTATACACCACTGAAAACATAGTTATGGATCTTATTTCCGTTCCTCAGATCCTCAAAATATTACACACTGAACCTTTAAAAAAAAAACTTTAATTCACAAACCTGTTTCTGATGCGCAGCAACAACCGTCGGTCCTTGTGGAAGAAGTTCCTCATCAGCTTTTCTCTGTCGGTCTTACTGGGTCTGTCTTGGACTCTGGGGTACCTGGTGCTCGTCACTACAGGACACACCCACCTGGTCTTCAGCATCGTCTTCTGCCTCTGTACAACAACACAGGTACGTTACTTTGATATCACAATTTATATGAAAACATTGTTCACTTGCTTCTTTTTCCTCCCCAAATATTGTTATTGGCAAAATACAATACTTCCAGTCACAGAAATACAGTTTACCATTTCCTTTAAAAAACAAAAACAAATATTGAACAAAATTCTAAACGCAACACTTTTGTTTCTCTCACATTGTTCACAAATCTGTCAAAATCTGTGTTAGAGAGCACTTCTCCTTTGCCGAGATAATCCATCCACCTCACAGGTGTGGCATATCAAGATGCTGATCAGACAGCATGAGTATTGCACAGGTGTGCCTTAGGCTGGCCACAATAAAAGGCCTTAGGCTGGCCACAATAAAAGGCCTTTGGCTGGCCACAACAAAATGCCAATCCAAAATGTGCAGTTTCGCTATATTGGGGGGTTCTGGTGGGGTCCGGGGGGCGGATCAGGAAACCAGTCAGTATCTGGTGTGAACACCATTTGCCTCACGCGGTGCAACACATCTCCTTCGCATAGAGTTGATCAGGCTGTTGATTGTGGCCCACTGTGTTGAGTGTTGGTCCACTTCTCTTCAATGGCTGTGCGAAGTTGCAGCCAGGTTGAGATCCTGATGAGAACGACGAGCCTGCAGATGAGCTTCACTGAGACAGTTCCTGACAGTTTGTGCAGAAATTCTTTGGTTATGCAAACCGATTGTTGCAGCAGCTGTCCGGGTGGCTGGTCTCAGACGATCTTGGAGGTCAAGATGCTGGATGTGGAAGTCCTGGGCTGGTGTGGTTACACGTGGTCTGGGGTTGTGAAGCCGGTTGGATGTACTGCCAAATTCAAATGGGAGCAAAAACAAAAGTGTATATGCATATGTACACAGTTACATTTTACATGAACATGTTCATTTGTTTTTAAAGTATTTTGTTCTACACCTTTATGCTCAGACACAGGAGCTACTTTATGAAAATTAGATAAGGAAGTGCTTGGAAGATGAATTTAAACTTTTAAATATGTGTAATGTGTAACCTTGTACAGCTCATGCAATCAAATTTTTGAATGGAGTTTGGAATAAAGAGGCTAACCTTCGTCTTCCTGCTCTGCTGTGTTCAGGGGTTTCAGATCTTCATCCTCTTCACGGCCAGAACACAGAGCTTCAGAGCCACCGTGTTGCGGTCTGTTCGGCACGTCTCGTATGTCAACAAAAAGTACAGTCTGAAGAACTTAAAGAAGACGACCAGCTTTGAGTCGTTCAGAGACCTGAAAGAAAAGGACAGGTCCACCATCAAAACCCTGTAGCAAGACATTGCAAAACAGCTGCTTTGGTGCAAATATACTGCATTTATGTGAGGAAATATTTGGGTTTATTATTCGAATGGGTTTGCTTTTCTAAATGTAGGAAAGAAAAAATGTTGTTAAAGCTCGGATCTGTTTGTTAACGTGGGTCATGGAGGACATTAAAACACTGTAGAACACTTTGCTCCTTCTTAGAGTCATAAGGCAGTACAATCTGAACACACATATTTATAGATTCAGTGTGACTTTCATGTTCTGATAAAGATAAAAAACTGAGAGAAAGATGCTGCAGACCCTACCTGAGAATCTTCATGTTTTCAAGTTTACTTCAGTGCCACAGCGATCCAGTGACAGTTGTCTGAACATCCGTACTAACTGCTAACAGGAGTGGCTAACAGCTACTTCAGCTACTTTTAATGGGGACTGTACAGCAGAACTCAGTATAACATAATGCCTAGCAGGTGTCTGATTTAAATATTCAATTTGTTTTCAGCATTTCTTTGTAGTTTTTTAATGACTCCTCCTTCACTCCTGACAGGTTTTGTTGTAAAAAAGTATAATCTTCCTCAAATGGCCTCAAATAAGAAGAGTTTTATTTCAAACTAAAGTGACTCGGCTTGTTTTGGCACCAGGCAGCGGCAGAAGTCTGTTTTTAACAAAGCGAAGGAACAAACACTTTCATATTTTATTCTATCTGAGTGATGATTCATGTTTTTGATCATTAATCTAAAATATTTTCTTTTTGTAAAGAGCTGCATTTTGTTATTGATTGTTGAAGTCTACTTTCTGCAGATATTTTTATGTTTGTGATTATTATAAAGTACTCACAGATTGCACTTTTTCTTGTACAATATTGAGGTATTTATACTTTGCATCATTTTAATTTTATGATACTTTAGAAGAAATGTGTTTAATCCACTCCATTTCTCTGACAGCATTAGTTTCTTTGTTCAGATACAGTTGTTTATCTAAAACAAAAATGATGATTGTAGTAATATAATACAATTTAATGCATCAGTAATAATTATACAACATTATTTATAATGTACAAATACATACAAAGACTATTTTGCTGGAAACATTCTGTATCTGAACTGCAGGACGTCCTTCTGTTCATTGTCATTGTTGGTACTTCTATATTAAAATATGTACGCATATTAACATATGAAAATATAAAGGTTTAGTTTAACGAGTTTTACTTTAAACTAAACATTTATTTCAAACTAAACTAATACTGACTGACTCAGGTATGTGTGCTGTTAGGAGTCTGATCTCATGTGATAGATGTTTGTTACAGACGCAGTTCACCAGTGTGTCTCTTTCAATAAAATGTTTCGTCACTTTTCTGACGTTTACACAGTCAAAGTGTAGTCTTTACTTTAAAAAAGCTACAGAAGTCCAAAACAAACCCCATGACTGGCTTTTGTCAGCTCGTGTAGTGTGTGACCCCCTGTCACCGATGAGTCATGTAGTGTGAACGCCACAATGACTTCAACACTCCTGTACCAAGACGGCAAGTTGTGCAGGGTGAACCGCACGGCCATCGGCTGAAAATCGTGTGGTCTCCACAAGCCTTAAAGCACTCTGTAACTGGAGACAATGAGCCACTAGAGAGCGTCCAAACTCCACACTAACAGTTTCCCGTCAGACCAGGACGTCTTCATGAGGTCCATGAGGGTTTGATTGAGTTCCTCCCTGTTCAGAGCTGCAGCTCCCTAACTAACTGTTAGAAACGAGTGAAAAATGTCCAAAGAGACGTCTTGTTTTGTCCAACCAACAAAGAGATTCACTCTAGGAAAGTATGAAACAGAAAAACCTGAGACATTTAAGAAGATGGATCCAATCTGATATTTCTGTTCATGAAATACTGAAGATAACTGTTGCTGATTCATATTCTGCAGATGTTTGTATTTCTATCTGAACTATTTATTAAAGACGGCAGTGTAGCATCCATCCTCATTTCCCGTCCACTCGGTTGGTCTCAACATGAAACAGAAACGAGGCTCAGTGTGTTTGAAAGGCCGCTGAGGCTCTTTAATGACACATCACATGTTCACATGTTAGTATCAGTCCAGCATGTGGATTTTTAAAAACAAGCTCAAAAAAGGTGGATTTCCAATTTAACTGCAGGCTGCAGCTGCTGTGAAGGCTGAAAGATCAATAATACTCCACAACAGATGATTCCTCTCACTTTCCCTCCAGCTGACTGAGGTAAAAAAAGTATTTCCACAGTAAAAGGCAAGAAAAGATCCAACATGTGGAGGAAAAGAGATTTCCATGGAAAAGGCCATCCAGCAGAGCAGCTGCAGCTTTTCCAGGGTCAGCGCTGATTACTTGTTTAAAATATTAATTTTTGCAGGTTGGAGGACTTTAAACTAATTGGCAGCAAACTGAACGATCAGCAGTTTTGAGATGTCTTACACATCCACTTTGTAAATCTGGAGTTTGTTGTTGAGATGTCGGCACTCGGCAGTATCTTGCCCAGGACACTTCGACTGGAGAAGCCAGGGACTGAACCGCCAACTTTCCGATTAACGGGCAACTTGCTCTATCTCCTGAGTCACAGCTGTCCGTTGTGCAGTTGTGTCATAGCAGAATAGTGTTTTATATGTTTTGTCTTTGGCTGTTTGCTCTTTCCTAACTGAGCGGACAGACTGACTCACCTCCAGCAAACTGAAGAACTAACTTTTGGCTTTTATCGTAAATTTCCCACTCAAAGCGCTTTTACACTACATCACACACTAAGCCTAAGTGCTCAAACAGAAACTAGACTTGTGGAACAGCCACCAGGGACAATTTGGGGTTCAGTATCTTGCCCAAGGACACTTCGACATGCAGCCTGGAAATGCTGGGATTGAAACGTCGACCTTCCGATTAAGGGGCAACCCACTCTATCTCCTGAGGCGCCACAGCCGCCCGGGGCAGATGTGCGGATTCAAGTGCAACGATTGATCAGCAGATCTCCAGCTGCGCGTTACACACCCTTTTAGTTGCTTGGTGTTCGACATTAAAACCTAAACAAACGACATCAAATCAAGACAAACACTAGTCCTTTACAGACGTAGCGGGCAGCGCTGAGGTAAGGTCATCAGACTAAAAACAGATTCTTGGGTGAAACCGCTTGTTGTCTCTAACGAGGAAAAAGTCCTCGTTATGTCACCAGAGAGAGAATCCCCTCATCACAAATCACACACGTCGTCCAACAGCATCACAAAAACAGTGTAACCACGTAAACACGCTTCCAAGTACTGCTGACCAAGTGAGAGAGAGGGAGGTGAGGGGGGTCAATCGAGACCTCGCCCGATGTTTGATGAGTCAGGGTTTCAGCTGGCGTTCAGATCTGGGTGTTTCCCCGTCATGACTCATCAGTGTGGGAGGCTTTGACCTCTGAGGGTTTCCCACTGACTCAAAGCAGCTGCACAAGATTCAGCATCAGCACACAAACAGCTGTGTGTTTGTGCACGAGCTGCACGAACTGTAAAATCTTTCTATATTTGGTTCACAGGAGTTTGAACATCACCATGTTACATCGATAAGAATGCAGAAGGAACAAATGGTTCTGGTGGTTTTTTTATCACACACAACCATAGATGTATATCTGAATCCCAGAGACGGAGGGCCCTCACGTGTGGGTGGACCTTATAAAGTTGGTTAGGAGTGAGTAAGGTCAGGTGAGATTGGGTGAGTCCTTGCCATGGAAATAGGCAGAGGGTTGCTGAATAGAATGGCTCTATTCTACAGCCGCCTCCAAATCCCGTAGGGATTTGCACTCCCAAGAGTAATACTAAGAGGAGTGGTTGGCAGGAAGTTTAATCAGCCGAGAAACCGGGTGAACATAAGATTTGTTCCCACCATTACTTCCGCTGACCTGACCATCCTTACTTGGGATGACCTTTGTAATGCGACCAACAACCCAAAGAGCCCTAGGGAATTGTGGGTCCGTGATCATGACAACTGTATTAACTTGCATATTCTCCTTGTGTGTTTGCCACTTCTGCCTGCATTGAAGGTGGGGGAGGTAACGCTTAATGAAATGAGCCCAAAAGTGGTCTGCCAACATCTTGCTATGACGCCACTGCCGGCAACTTAGTAATTCAGAGCTCGTATAAGAAACTAGAGGTAGGGAGGAATCTATCTGCCCCATCAGAAGAAGATTTGGGGTAACTGGGTCAGGATCTGCAATATCTGAGGATGCGTAGCCAAGAGGCTTGGAGTTAAGGATATTTTCGACTCCTATCAACAAAGTGTGCAGAACTTCTACAGTGACCAGTTGGGCTCCTAGGGAGCTCTGGAAGGCCTGTTTGACAGAACAAATCTCTCTTTCCCATTTTCCTCCAAACTGAGGGGCATGGGGAGGATTGAAATAAATCTGAATCCTTTGTTGATTGAGTTGAACTTGAAGGGATGGACTAAGTGTTATGAAGACCTCCATAAGTTCCCTCTCTCCTCCCTTGAAGTTGGTACCTTGGTCCAACCAGAGTTTGAAGGGAGTGCCCCTGCGGGCGGTGAAACAGTGTAGGGCCAGGAGGAAAGAATCTGTATCAAGACTACAAAGGAGGTCCAAGTGCACACAGCGAGTTGTTAAACACTTAAATGTAATGCCCCACCGCTTCTAGGTCTGATGTTCAAGCTTGACATTATAAGGTCCAAAAAAATCCATCCCAGTTGAGTGTAAAGCAAGCTTGTACAATTAGAGACGAACTATAGGAAGGTGTACCAACCTAGGAACAACAGGCCTTGCACGCCACCGTTGGCACTGGACACTGCCACGTTGGTACTTCCATATTGCCTCCCTCCCTCTCAAAATCCATAACTGACTGCAGAGCTCTGCAAATACTCTCTCGGGCCGGGATGTTTGAGTCTTTCATCATATTCCTGGATGAGCAGCTTAGACACTGGATGTTTGGGATCGAGGACAATAGCCATGTTTCCATCCAATTGTCATGCAAATTTTAAGCGTACTTTTGAAATGTCGCAAAAAAGAAAACAAAATAGAACTTGCGGAATATGTGCGTTTCCATAAGCTGGTTTGGAGCGAATGAACAGACTACGGCAAGCGTTCTCGCGTCTTTTCGTCCTCATTTATGATCTTAAACTGAATATTTGGGAGTTTTTGACATCTGGTCCGTGAAACACGCCGGGCTTCTTCACTGTTTAAAAGAAAGAAATCACAGGATTTATCAGTTGCAGTCCTGAACTTGGTCGCCGGCCCCCTGAACAAACCGAACTCAACAACAAATCACACCAGAGTTCGTGTTAATGGAAGCCAACATGTTTGTGTGAAAGCCCCTGAGGGAAACATCCCCCGCCTCTCTAAAGACCGGCATGCAAACTGTAAAGGCTCTGAACTCCAAGCGCTCAGGTCTTCAGGGGGATCGGTTGTTAAGTGTTTCCACGTTTTAGGAACTAATTGAAATGTAAGATGATAGTGAACTTTTCCTGCCGTTTGCTCCCCGGAACAAGCGCCTGCCTGTGTGGAGCCGAGTCTCTGGCCTTCACAATGTTCGTACCTGAAGTAAAACCTGTCCGGAAGAACAAACACTAGTTTGCAGCAGATTTCATCAGACTGACGCTGCCTCCTCCAAACGGTCCACAAACGCTGCAGCGCAGGTTGCTGAACATCTGCTCTCTGTTACCAGAGACGTGCAAAGTGAGAAGTGATGATGGAAGTGACGACAGCAGAGATTCTCTTTTTCTCCTCAGCTCTCCAAACCAAACATTCACTGCACATGAGAATAACAGAGCATGAAATGAACACATGAGGAAAAGATGTACAGTAAAGAAGTTACACTTTAACAGGCGGAAAACTGCTCAACCATCAAGTTCAGGCCAGTTTCATCATAAAGCAAACTTTCAGGACGTTTCAACGAGTTTCTGGAAGTGAAGGGATGATTCACATGAAGCTGAAAAAGACACCGACCTGCCCCAAACCACAAAAGCCAAACATACAGCACCTAATGTAATCCAGTAAAATTCAAAAAGTTGGTCAAAATAAAATAAAGGTAATAATTTGAATCAAATTGTTGCAGGTAATGAAACACATTAAATGAGCCTTCAGGGACAAAGTAAAAAACTGAAATCAAAAATAAATTAATAATAAAATAAAATACAATGTTATTTTTATTTGTGCTTCGACCGCCAAAGAGTTTTTGTAAAACCATAAAATCAGAGAAGGCTACAAAGCTCAGGGAGCTGCAGCGACGGGACCATATTAGGTTTAACTGAGACAGCGCATCAATCGTCAATATAAATATTGATTATTGGCAGAGAGCAGCATCAGAACACTGGATCATCACATCATCTACAGGTTCACTGTCTGAAACGTAAAAACAGCTTTCTCACAACAACAACAACGTAATGCTCAACGTTCATGTTGCTATGGTAACCGGCAGCGCTTGTAGAAGCAGCAGCCGGCAGCTCCTTCAAACTTTGACACCCTTTTGTTTTTTCCAAACATGCGTTACCTCTGACATTAGTACTGTCATTGGAAGATGAAGACGGGATTTTTGATTATCTTTTCCGGTACCACCGTCTGGATAACTCTCTGCCACGAAACCTGGATTATCGACCATTCTGCCTCGTCTTCCCTGCAATACTGTTGATGTGGTTGAATGTCGGATGCATCCTCTCTGGGCCCTGTCTTCGGTAGCTAAGTTAGCTGGTGCTTCCTCGTACCATCATGTCGCTAATTAAATACTCTTCCCCGGAGCTCCTGAACCTCTTCTGTCACATCATACCAAATTGTCTTGATACCATCAAATCTCTCAAACTCCTGCGTCACCCCCGCTATGTACATAGGGGCTCCCGACGTAAGTTTGTTTACGTGGACCATGCTATTCCCACTGTTCTGTTGGACAGATGCTCTGTCGCAGTGAGTCAATCTGTCAATCTGAGGCCCCTGGTCTGTGTTGATGTTGCTCCGACTACACTGCCTGCCTCAGCACCTACTAACAGGACTGCAATGTTCATGTTATTGAACACTCGCTCCCGAAATAACAAAGCACTACTCATACATGACATTTTTACTGACAGGAAAATGGATTTTCTTTGCTTAACAGAAACTTGGCAGGGTTTTAGTCAACCAAGCCACCCCACCAGGCCATGTGTAAATACAGAAGCCTCGCTCTATGGGCCGTGGTGGTGGTCTGGCTGTTATCCATCGAGCTGACATCCCAGTGAAAGAACTTCCAGTGCCTAACATCACCTCATTTGAGTGTCACATTGGCTGGGTTTGCACAGCTCCAAGTGGTCCTTGTTTATCGCCCCCCAAAAACCTCCACCATCTTCATGGCCGAGCTATCAGAGCTACTCATCTCCATTTGCTCCACGTCTCCATCCACACTCCTGCTCGGGGACTTCAATATCCATGTGGACCCTAACAGCTGTCCCTTTGCTGCTGAATTCCTGTCACTATTGGACTGCCTCAACATCATTCAGTACCTCAAAGGTCCCACTCACACTGGATCTGGGGTGCTCCACTGGTACTACTCCCTCCCAGCAGCAATGCATCGACCTAGCTGTATCTGACCACAGTGCCATCTTTTTTTCTGTTCCAGTCCTTCTGCCCACGTAACAATTCAAACACACCATCACATTCGGGAACATCAAGTCTGTTAATGCATCATCCCTAGCGAGCACTGTAGGGACCCACCTGGCCTCAGAACCCCCGGACCCCGGGGTGGATGGCCTAGTCGCCCTCTATAATACAGCTTTGTCTCTCACCCTGGACTCTTTTGCTCCCCTCAAGACTGTCTCTTTCTCCCATCCTGCCCCCTGTTTCACTACTGAACTTCACACCATGAAGGCCGCTGGTTGCCAGCTGGAGAGGCTTCATAAAAAATCTGGCCTGACTGTCCATCCTAGAGGCCTTCAAAGACCATGTGAGGTTTTATAAAGAAGTTCCCTCCAAGGCCAAAACACACTACTATTCCACCCTCATTGGTTCCCAGAAAAAGCAACCCAGAATGCTTTTCTCCACCATAAGACGGCTGCTCCGCCCTCATGATGTCTATTCTTTCAGGAAAAAGTGGACTCTATCCACCAGTAACTGCTGCCTCCTACTCCTGCCCCTCTACCCACAACTCACCCTCATGATGGTGCCCCCCCTCCGCAGCATGCTTGCCACAGCACTGCCTCTCCTCCTTCTCCCTTCTGGACGCGGCCCAAGTCGTCAAGTTGGTTACCAGAGCCAAGATCTCCACTTGTTCACTGGACCCCATGCCTACTATCTTGGTCAAGGCATGCCTCTCTACCCTCTGTCCCATCATGGTGGACATCATAAACACTTCTCTGGTATCTGGCTTGGTACCCTCCTGCCTCAAAACAGATGCCGGTACTCCTTTTCTCAAAAAGCCTAGTTTGGACCCAGATGACCTCAACAACTACCGTCCGATCTCCAACCTTCCTTCATGAGCAAAAAAGAAAGAGCAGTTGCCGCCCAACTTCATCAACACATGTCCCACTATGATCTCTATGAACTCCTTTAATCTGGCTTCAGAGCACATCACAGCACTGAGACCGCCCTCATCAAAACCACTAATGACAAGGTGCAGCACAATGGTTGTCAGAGAGTCACTGTGTCTGCCGGACATTGAACTCCTCTGTATCCTTACGTCCTTTTTATCTTCCAAGGGAATTCCCCCAATTATTTGTGTCTCTTGTTTATATTCACCCGAAGGCTAACGTTGACATGGCCTTTATACTTTATTTCACGTCCATCAACATGTCAACCTCATGTGCATAACTGCATTCAGAGTCTGGCCAGTTAGAGCTCCTGCTGCTGCTCTTCATGTCTTCATGTCATTTTGAAGTGGCACACCGCTTACACTTTGGCTTTCAGTTAAAGAGATCCATCTTTGAGTTAAAGCTCCACTATATGGAAATTGTAAAGGTTAGCAGGATGCTAATAAATTGTCAGATTACTTAATTCATTCAGAAAACCACAGATACAAAGTTCCAGTTCCCGTTTTGTTCCGCCAGCTTTTAGTTCTTGAAATAAAGGCTGTTGTTCAAAAGAATGAAAAGAGTTTCTTCATCAGGTGTGTCATGTTACCTGTCAGGTTCAGTGGCAGCTGAATGCAGTCAGACAGCAGCGTGAGGCAGAGGAAGCTGCCATCAGCTGCTGGACTTCTACTATCAGTCCACTAGATGGAGGCATGCGTCCAGTGGCAGCAGCGTATGTGGTTCTGGACCCAAGACACAAAGATCTCTTTCTCCTGAGATGTAAACAAAGGGGGCTGATAGCTATAAATACACTGGAATGGTGAACCGGGTCTTCCTTTTCTGATAAGACCTCTCTGCTTATCCACTGGATTGTAGGTGGAACCCAGAGAACACACTGATGGTGGCATCAATGGCTAAACAAAATGACTTCCACGATGCTGAGGGGAACTGGGATCTCCGTCCAAAACAGCGTCACAGGGCAGGCCATGGACCTGGAACACCTCCTTAACCAATAAATCATCTGTCTCCTTGGCTGAAGGAAGCTTAGTAAGAGAGATAAAGTGGTTAAATTTACTGAACCGATCAACCACTGTCAAAATCTTTCTCTCAGAGGGAGGCAGATGGGTCACAAAGTCCAGGGCCAGGTGTGACCAGGAACGGTGATGACTTTTACTGGTGTAAATTCTAATACAGCCAATAAAACAGCATCTGGGGATGTTTAAAGATGTGTCTGAAAAGAGCTCAAATCAACAAATAAAATTGGTAAAAGAGCTTCAATGAAAAACAGAAGCTTTGTCTCCACCTGGTGGAGATTCAGCGAAACCCCAAGCACAACAACTCAGAGAGCCTGCTTTATACTCTAGAATTATGAGGGCCCGAGCATAAAACATGCGAGGACCCTATTTACATGCAAGGAATTCTTCTTCGTCATGCAAATTAAGCACATTTTTGCCGGCCTAAACATGCTTGAAAAGTCACAAAACTTTGCACAAAATTCCCGTTTCTGCGTTGTGAAAGGAGCAAACTAAATGGCCACACGTTGATATATTCATGTCCCCAAATGCAGCCGTCAAGAAATCTGCTGTTTCCCATTGATCACAATAGAAGTGCTTCATTTATTTATTTATTATTAAGTGTTTCACAGTTTGGCAGCACTTTAATGTCTGGATTAATACTGAAATCTTCAACATCAGAAAGCATCACCTTTTACATCAGAACATGTTCAGAAAACACCCCATGAAGGACTCATGGTTTCATTTCTGTTGATTTGACTGGTTGTGTTGTTTTATTGATTAGTTATTAGTTGTCCATCTGCTTGGCCTTAATTTGTCACTACCATAACAATAACGATCTACCAATGACGTAATCACGTCACTGAATTCACTGTTTGTTGATGAGAAGTTCTCATCTTTTACTTCTTTTTTCAAATGACTTGTAGCTGATCATTAAAGCAAATGTTTCCTGGAGCTGAAATGAAGCAGAAAACTAAAGAGGCAGGAAGACTCGGACATGAAACCCTCCTGGTTGGATCAGGAGGGAAATAAAGACACAAGCTGCAGCCACAAGTTTCACTGACAGAAGAAATATTAAGAAATGACTAGAGTCAAGTCCCAGAGTGCACTGCTGCAAGACACGTCACAGAGCGGCAGGTTGGGAGGTGAAACGTTGTGTAAGTATCAGATGTATTCAGATGTTTGTGGACCATCAGCTTCTCTTCTTCGTGCGTTTTCACTTTCTCTCCTCAGCAGCTTGGAGGATGGCGGCAGCGCTCTCCTTCGCTTCCTGCAGCAACGCCGACGCTCTCGCCTGAGTCTGCAGCACAAAGAGCAACAGAAGGACAAAGTGATGATTCACGAAGAGAGCTGCTTTACGACGCGCCTGTTAAAGAGCGTGGGATGCACTCACGGCTGTCTTGAAGGTGTCGTCTGCGACGTCTTTGAGGTTGATGGTGATGTTGTAATACGCGCCGAAAACAGCCGTCTCCAAAGCTTTAGCTGCCACCTGAAAGCACGCAGAGCCGGACTTTAAAGCTTTGCTTTGAAGCCGTCTCTGCTGTTTGATGGCTGAAGAGAAAAATGACCTGTAGTTTGGTATCTCATTATTCTATTTTTTGCTTTTAAGGCTAAATGAATAAAAGCAGCACAGGCGTGACTGATGAGGGGCTCTTGGATCCCTCTCGGATTTATTGCTTCAATAAAAACAGTGAATCTGATGCTGGATCAGTGTTTGTGTCACCTGAGCGTCGGACTTGCAGGCCATGTTCCCGTGGACGACCATTTCTTTAAGAGACGGCCAGAGGACGCTGATCCTCTCAGCCAGAGCCAGCGGGACGCCCACCGCTTGCTGCAGACCCTCCTGCATCGCAGCCTGTCGCCTGACAGACAAACATTGGGGCTTACGCTCAGAAATATCAACCAATCAAAGATCAATACATAAAAGTCACTGAATCCAACACATTTTCACTCCTAACTTGTCACATACGGACGCTTGGTCAAGACCCCTTGGCGTCGCTTTTTAGCGGCGTGGGGTGTGTTTGTGGAGATTTAGGGCTCAGCTGTCAAGTTAGCAATAATATGCAACGTCCAGTTAAACTTTCAAAATAAAACGTCTCAATTTGGTTAGGTTCAGGCACAGAAACTACTTACAGTTTGGGTTTGGATGGTTTGGCTTAAAATAACAAAGTCACTTGCGTAACTTATTTTACTAAAATAAAAACATTAAATGTTGACTCTTTGCCAGTTTCCTGACTAAAAGTCAATTTTCTGGCCCACCCGTCCACCCCGATCACCTCCAAACTCAGACTTTTGGTTAAATATCATACACCTATCTTTGCTGTTACAAAATGATGCTACAGGGCTTCTACCAGTGCGTTGAACTATGAGGGTAAGGGGCTCCCCAGTGCGTTACAATCTGACGCCAACGGGTCTCGACCATGTGTCCATATGTGACAAGAACGGGTTGCTGAATCCAACTAAATTAGCGTCATCTTATAGAAAATGATGCATTGCTGCAGATTGAAAAACCCAACAGGATATAAAAGAGTTTAAATGACCTCAAACATCTCCAGCAGTAAAATGCGACATTAATGCAGCAGGAATATTAATCCAGAAACATCAGAGATAATACAGAAACACTGACACAAACATTCACAGTTAATGTCGTAATCTGCAGGTTCGGAGCCTCCTGGGGCCTTAAGTGTGTTTACTGAATGATAACATGATTAAACTGTGATTAATAAATGTACATGGAGCTTTAACTCAGATTTAAAATCCCACCTCTTCATTTCCTCTGCAGTGTTCTTTGGCATTTTCAGCGCCGCCTGAAACAAACAAACACATTTTACCATGACCAAGTTTTTTCAAACAACTTAAGTCTATTTCACATTACACAATTATAAGCCCAATTTGCACTTCCTTATTTGTGTTTTATCACAAATAATTGCAAGAACCACCTGCACCACTCATTTCTTCCATACGTCCATTTCTAAATAAACAACTCCTCCATTATTTCCTGTGTCACTTCTCTAACATCAGCATGCTAAAGGGCTCGGAGGTTTGACAGGTTTAATGTTGCAATGTAGCACGCTAACATTAGCTCATTAGCAGCAAACACACAGCTGAGGCTGATGGGAATGCCAGCTCCAAGTTTTGGTCATACACCAAAGTATTATATATTTTTCATGGTATTTTGGAAAATGTCCCCATTAAAAGTAGCAGCTAATGTTAGCAGTGTACCCGTGGATGTAGAGACAACTGTCGCTGGATAACTTGAAAACAAGATGATTCTCATTCAGGTTCTGCAGCATCTTTTCTCTCTGATCTGGATATCAGAACTTTTATTCAGGACGAACAGGAAAGGATCATGAAATCCTCAGGAAGTCACACGTTTCATGTGTTCAGATTGAACTGAGTTAGGACTCTGAGAAGGAGTGCGCTTTTTGACTCATGCCTTCAGCTGTGATGATAATCCTGTCTGAATGGGGTTGAAGACAATGAGTGTATAGTATAAAGTTAGTGGGGACCTGAGGCACAGCGAGTTACAGCGAAATACCAACGGGAACACAGTTTTTCGTCTGCAGCTTTTGGAGGGTCGTCCTCACCATGTAGCTGTTGAAGGCGGACGAGTCAGCGTCCACCATAAGCAGCAAATCGTTCATGGCCTGGTGAAACGGAGGAATCAGCCTCCTCATCACCCCGTCCAGGTTCTCAAACTGCCTCTTCCCGTAAGTCATCTGACCCACCATGGCGCCCAACGCTGCCCCCTACAGCACAAAGCACAAAGTCGTCGTGTGTATGTTTGGAGATGTCGGACTTTAACTAGTCAAACGGAGTTTTATTCGTACCAGAGCAGCGATAGCAGCGGAAACTGATCCTCCACCAGGAGCCGCCGTCCGAGCGCCGACACTCTGAACAAACTGCTGCAGAGACAGAGACACCAGCCGGCTGTCCTCCCGTGACCTCACCATGTACCTACACAGGTAGAAAAACATTAGTGCAGCCTAGTGTTGTAGTGACTCAGTGTGACCACTGGAGGACAGTAAATACTCTTTACTGTTATTACTCTAGGGGCCAGATTTACTAAAGGTCTAAACCTGTTTACTAAACGTGTGCAAACTTGATATCACCAGCAAATTAACACAAAAGCTGATCTACTAACGGTGCGCACGCAGAATGACATCTTTCAAAAGTGCAAGATAGCACCTGTTGTTCATTTACTACTTTTGTTAATGAATATGCAGTTTGGGGCGTTTCAATTTTATTGTGCAAAGTTATGGCAGGGAAACATGCAAATACATTTATTTACTACACGCAATCTGACCTACCAAACCTAAATGCAACAGCCTCTGTATTTAATACGTTTGAAAGGAAGGTGCAAACCGCCAAGTGTTGCGCAGAGATGGAGACACAGCCGTGATGAAAGAAGACGTAAAGAAATAAACTATTATAACTATAAAATATTAGAAAATTATATAGAAATCGTATTAATTTATTTTATTTATTTGATGAACTATATTAATTGAATTGTTTTTTTTTATTTTCATTGAAGCTTTGGCAATGCTGTTGTTTTAACATTCATGCCAATAAAGCAAATTTCGTTTCAACCTGACCTGAATTTAGAAAGTTGCGTGGCGCTGCAGAGGGCCCCCAGCTGCAGTAGTGCACGGATAAAATTCATCCAACCAGAGGGAACGATGACCAACTGTTCACAGCGCACCAGTTGTAACAGCGACACAACCCATTGTAAGTATCAGAGAGGGAATGGGGCGTTGTGGCGTACAGGGCCAGGATATCTCGGAGGGGAATGGGGTGTTGGTAAATCGGGTCATGCTGAGTCCAGCTGATGATCCCAATCACCGACCTGGCACGGTGCGGACGGTCAGTGATTGGTCCCTCTGGCTGGATGAAGCCTGATCTGCTGGCATTTCCTGGCATCTGGATCGTTCCAGCACACTGTAGCTGTTTCTGCTGGGGTTTCCTAAAGCAGTTTTTCAGGTGTGCTGTCCCAAGTACTTAGTGCACTCTCAGGCAGGACGATTTCCACATACTCGAGATGCACTGAATGAAACAAACCAATGTTTTTACCCAGTTGCTGCTTTCCCTCCCGACTCTCCATGGCAGAAACCATTAAAACCCTCATTTAAATACTGCCACCTCCATTGTGTTTGCACCTGTTGTCATCTATGCAATAATTCTTAGTAAATCACCCATAACAAGTACTAAAATTACACTTGCAATATTTTAAAATGCACATGCAATTTAGTGCTCTTTATTTGGGGTGTTGGTAAATCACTCCCTAGGACTCTATGTCAATCATTCCTATAGCAGTTTAACCCTCTGACCTTCGGTTTACATGGAAAGATTTCACCGAAAGTCTGAAAATCACTGAAAATATTAATAACTCAGTTTAAAAAAATATAAACTGGTTTACAGACACGAACTCTGAACTGGTTTTGTCAGCTCGTCTCTACATTATATAAATCAAAGTTGTGGGGTTATAACATCTGTGTTCACAAACATAGTGTCATAGTATCAGAAGCATAAACTCACTCTATGATTCTCTCCTTCGGGTTGAACGGGCCGAGAGAGTCGAGGCCGAGTTTACTGATCACCTGATGACACACAAACAAAGAGACGTCACATTTCGTCCTCACAAACAGCCGCAGCGCTGCTTTTTAGAAAGACTCGTCTCTGACCAGCCGGACTTTGTGCTCCTCTTCGATGATGAAGAGCTGGTCTCTGCGGATGTAGAAGTCAGCAGCATCCAGCAGAGCCTTCAGAGGGATCAGACCCACGATCTGAGAGCCGACTACAGGCAGCTTTAGGTCCTGAACACAACACACGTTCTTTATTTATAGCAGGAACAAAAAACAAAAAACACCCCAACAAAACCTCCTTTACACACATTTCCATCAGAAGTATTGACTCTTCATGATGAAACAGGAGCTGCAGAGGCACCAGATTCCCTTTGAATCCAACAGGCCAATGAAGCATTCTCCTGTTGTTTATATCTTCAAACTACAGAGCAGTGTGTGAAAGCAGACTGAGAAGACTCATCCCATTTTTAAGCTCTAAATTACCAGGGTGTACTGGGGTATGTGTGTTTAAATATTTAAAATTGTACACGTTTCAGCTTTTCTCTTTTTCATGATATCGTAGGTGGTGCTTTAAACGTTAAAATGATATTTCTACTTGTTGAATGTAACTTGGAGTTGTGTGTGAGAGTGTGTGTTGACCTCTGACCTCAGCGTCCCTGCAGATCTCCTCGTACACGGTGTGGAGGGGGGTCAGCTCGTAGTCCAGGATGTTGGTGGACACCTGAGCGATGTTGGCCTCGTCCAGGTACCAGCCCATCCCCTGCACCTTCTGCAGCACCCCAGGCTGCTCCACACACAAGGAGGTCACTAAAGGTCATGCTGAGTCCAGCTGATGATGGATAATTAACTGGACTGGGTCTGGTGTACTGGTTTTACTGGTTTTACTTTTAAAGCTGAATAAAGTCATATTAAGGGATTTATTTAAAGATTGATTCACGGAAGATAAAGACCCATTTCATTTACCCACAAGACCCCTAACGTGACTTTTAAAGTTGTTCTACTTATTAAACATCATGTGACCTTTGAACAAACTATAATAAACCTTCAAACTGAGAAAGTAGTAAGAAATGACTAATTAACAATCTAGTAACCAGTAGTGAGTATATAGTAAGTTAGGTACAAGTAAGCACTGTGGAACTAAATATGATGGAAGTAGCAGTAACAGTTCAGTAAGTGACATAAACGTAATTAAAAAGTAGTTAGCGGTAAGTAACAAATAGATTCAGCACTAAGTAGTAAATAAGTAAGTAGTAAGTATCTAATAAGTAAAGATAAAGTAAGTAGTAAGAATGTAGGAATGTGTTTGGGTAAGACAGTAACAGTTTAGTAAGTAATGAACAACAGAGAAGGTAATGAGTTAGAAAGTAATAAGTAAATAATAAGTATTTGTTTCACAGGTCTGTATATTTTCAGTAAACAGAAAACAGTAAATCTGAGAAACTGGAAAATATACTGAAGCAAGTGAATCTGACTTCAGATCAGAAAAGACTGAAGCTAAATGAACCGGATAATTTAGTCAGACTCCCATCATGCACCTGGTCTTTCCCTCGGCCCTGCTCCCGCACGTCCAGGGCGATGCGATGAGCCTGCTCCTTGGTGCTTATCAGATTCACGTTGTAGGCGATGAGGAACTTGCGAGCGCCGGTTACAGTGGCGCCCCACGATGGCACGAACGTGGCGGGGCCAAAGTCGGGGGCCCAATCGTCGCGCTTCAACTGGAGGAGAGAAAAAATAAAGCATGTGTCCTTTCAGCACCTGACGGAGGGAACCGAGTCTGAGAACCAACATGGGAAATACAGTCTAAGATTTATTGGGGAAATTTTCCCGGACTTTTATTTTGAAATGAAGAAGAAAGAGATGCTAAATAACTGAATAAATGAGCAGCAGCTGATTGGTTGTCAGTGCCTCACCTTCTCAGGTAAAGCTTCGTACTCTCCGGCTCGGACAGACGGAAGACTTCTCCTAGATTCTTTTCGTGCTGCCTCTCCGTAAAGATAAACTGTGGGTGGAATAAAGATTATTAGCCGTGCTGCTGCGGATGCTAAGGTCGATCAGCAACAACTTCCTGTTGTTGTGGCTGATGTCAGAACGTCTTATTGTTGTTTTGTCCTGTCTGTTTGTTTGTGTGCATGTTAATAATTAGAGTCAACACAGTCTCCCTCCTGCTGGTTATTTTCTTTATCATTTTGATGCATGAAAAGTTTTATTTATTGTTTTCTGCGTCCCGCACATCATTCAAATGTTTTTAGATGAATCAGAGACGTGGCGTCTCACCGGGCACGTGCAGCAGTTCGGCCAGTTTCCGTCCGAAGACGTTGGCGCAGTTGACACAGTCGTCCATGGAGACATTCTGGACGGGGATGAAGGGACAAACGTCCAGCGCTCCGGTCCGAGGATGCTCACCTGCACAGGTAACGCACACGCGTCAGGTATCTCCTCTTGTGTCACACTTCCTGCGTGTTGCTGAAGGGCGCGGCTCACCTGAGTGTTTGCTCATGTCGATGAGGCTGAAGGCCTGCCGGGCGGCGTTCAGCGCTGCCTCCACCACGGCTGCAGGGGAGCCCACGAAGGTGTAGACGGTCCGGTTGGTGGAGGCTCCGGGGTCGACGTCCAGCAGGCTGCAGCCAGCGGTGCCGGAGATGGCTGCTGAGATGGCATCGATCACCTGAAACACCAGGAAAAGATCTGCTCACCTTCTTCTGTTTCACCTGCCCTCTTTAACAGTTACACCATGTTTTAAGAAAAATACTGTGTTGTTTGAGAATTCACACAGCTGTGGTCAAAACCACTTAGGGGACAAAACCACTTTATTTGCACTCTGGCTGTTAAGAGACTCCCTCTGAGCGAGGGTTCGAGGCGGTACATACAAAGTCATAGAAATACAGGTGCTGGTCATATAATTAGAATATCATCAAAAGGTTGATTTATTTATTCCATTCAGAAAGTGAAACTTGTATAATGTATACATTCATTCCACACAGACTGATGTATTTCAAGTGTTCATTCCTTTTAATTTTGATGATTATAACTGACAACTAATGAAAACCCCAAAATCAGTATCTCAGAAAATTAGAATATTGTGAAAAGGTTCAATATTAAAGACACCTGGTGCCACACTCTAATCAGCTAATTAACTCAAAACACCTGCAAAGGCCTTTAAATGGTCTCTCAGTCTAGTTCTGTAGGCTGCACAATCATGGGGAAGACTGCTGACTTGACAACTGTCCAAAAGACGACCATTGACACCTTGCACAAGGAGGGCAAGACACAAAAGGTCATTGCTAAAGAGGCTGGCTGTTCACAGAGCTCTGTGTCCAAGCACATTAATAGAGAGGCGAAGGGAAGGAAAAGATGTGGTAGAAAAACATGTACAAGCAATAGGGATAACCGCACCCTGGAGAGGATTGTGAAACAAAAGCCATTCAAAAATGTGGGGGAGATTCACAAAGAGTGGACTGCAGCTGGAGTCAGTGCTTCAAGAACCACCACGCACAGACGTATGCAAGACATGGGTTTCAGCTGTCGAATTCCTTGTGTCAAGCCACTCTTGAACAAGACACAGCGTCAGAAGCATCTCGCCTGGGCTAAAGACAAAAAGGACTGGACTGCTGCTGAGTGGTCCAAAGTTATGTTCTCTGATGAAAGTAAATTTTGCATTTCCTTTGGAAATCAAGGTCCCAGAGTCTGGAGGAAGAGAGGAGAGGCACAGAATCCACGTTGCTTGAAGTCCAGTGTAGAGTTTCCACAGTCAGTGATGGTTTGGGGTGCCATGTCATTTGCTGGTGTTGGTCCACTGTGTTTTCTGAGGTCTAAGGTCAACGCAGCCGTCTACCAGGACGTTTTAGAGCACTTCATGCTTCCTGCTGCTGACCAACTTTATGGAGATCCAACAGGACTTGGCACCTGCACACAGTGCCAAAGCTACCAGTACCTGGTTTAAGGACCATGGTATCCCTGTTCTTAATTGGCCAGCAAACTGGCCTGACCTTAACCCTATAGAAAATCTATGGGGTATTGTGAAGAGGAAGATGCGATACGCCAGACCCAACAAGCAACCTGGGCTCTCATAACACCTGAGCAGTGCCACAGACTGATGAACTCCATGCCACGCCGCATTGCTGCAGTAATTCAGGCAAAAGGAGCCCCGACTAAGTATTGAGTGCTGGACATGCTCATACTTTTCATGTTCATACTTTTCAGTTGGCCAACATTTCTAAAAATTACAAGTCTTAAGTAATATTCTAATTTTCGGAGATACTGAATTTGGGATTTTCATTAGTTGTCAGTTTTAATCATCACAATTAAATGAAATAAACAGTTGAAATATATCAGCATGTGTGTAAGCAAGTTTCACTTTCTGAATGGAATTACTGAAATAAATCAACTTTTTGATGATATTCTAATTATATGACCAGCACCTGTATTTTCAACTCAAGCGAGAAAGTTACATGATGCTGAGTCGCAATAGCCTATCAGCATTGAGATTGTCCAGACATCACTGAAGGCTTCAGAGCGTTGTATGGAGAGGGCCAGGCAGAGTGAGAGATTGAAAATTGGTTGCTAGAGGAGCAGGGAGCAGCACTGCCGTAGTCGAGCTGGATTATGCTGCTTTACTGTGACCAAGTTAGCATAGCATAGTCCTGATCGATCCGAACTCCATCCAGAAAACAAACATTTTAGAAGTTGTTGACCTGACAAAACATGAATTCATATGTTTAACAAATGCATCATATTTTAGGTATTTCGGCATCAGTTTGATGTAATTAAATCACAGTAAAATGTTTC